TAGGTGATCCCACACTATGTCTTTACTTTAGGCTTATTATACCAACACTCACTACACTTATAAGGTTTCACGGCACCACCACCCCCTTTACGTCCCCCTTGCACCCATGTCAACTAAAATCGTAATGTGTAGACAGTAATCGAACTATTCTACCTTGATAAATGCATTTTAGCTTTTATGACTTATCCTATTTCGAGAAATTAAACGTAACGTGACGAGACACACTGGCCTTTATATAGGTTAGATTGTTTTAAGTTGTCATGCAGTTTCTGCATGTGGTTAATCACATCCCTGGCGACTGTAAACATGTGATAACCCTTTTACAAAGGTAAAGATTACATACTATAGCCTTTCTTCTTAAGTCTCAAACAAACATTTACATATTTCTGTATAGGCTTCTTACAATATAGGTAATACAGAAATCTGTACAGCTGGCTCATGTAAACGATTGGTTAAAGCATGTAATGCCTAGATTTGTGAGAAACCTTACTAAGACTTCAGGCACAGTATAAAAGTGGAATATTTACAGTTTTCTCTTTTGATTTTCTCTTTTGTTTTGTTCTTTTTCTTTGATTTGTTTGTGAGAAAATATACAGACTACAAATGGGCCAGCAGCTTGGTACCTTTTTAGACAGTAGTATCAATACATATTTGTTGTTTTTGTACTTTTCTTTTGCTGTCCATCCTCAATTTATTCTATACTTAACAAGCCTAGACCTGCATTTTTTCTGACATTTGGGAATTTTCTGTTGGACACCAGTGAACCTGAATAACACACTAGTTATCTAATGTTAAACCATGTATGTGAGCTCTTGTACTTATGTGTAAACTTTTAAATTAAACATATCCGTGATCAAATAATAGAAACACAATTAACATGTTTCAACTGGATTAGGAAACTTGAAAACTGCTGATAAAGCTTTATTAGTGAAATATTGAGCTAATAAAGATAACTTCTGGAGACATTGGTCATTACTATACTTACATTAATGGAAATGCTTAATAATAAACTCCAGTTTGTGTTAAACAAAGTTATGAATAACAATAACGAGTTATGGTTCTCAATACTCACAGTTTCATATAAGTTAGCTTTTATAGTATGCAAAGCATATTTAGTGTTTCATCACTCCTTTAGTTCATTAAGGTGAGCACTTCATATTCACATAGGCTTCAAAAACAATTTTCACAGGTACACATTTCGAAATGTTGTGTATATCCAACACTACAACAATTGGTATGGAATGTGATTAAATTATTTTGTCACTAGTTACATATTTTTTCTGGGTCATTTCCCCCCTTTATGTCACATGCACTTTCTCATAGGAAAGATTGCTTTATAGTGGAATATGTTATATAAAGATTGACTGATATTTTCCAGTGGCAGGTCAGGTGATATTTTGAGGGTATATTCTACCTGCTTTTTCTATTGGAATTACCAATAACAACATGGATTGCACCTGTACAGTGAGAGGCTGGAAGTTTAGAATTTTATCTATAGTTCACTGCTCTCACACTCTAAAATAAATGTTTAGACCGATAGGGTATAGAGCCAGATCTCCAGTACCTGTGGTATCGTAAAGTGCATTCGTTTACCTGGACTCTTTTTGTGCACTTAATAAATAAGAATTTTCACTCTGTTGATATTGTGTTATGTCTCATTCAGATTCAGAGAATTCAGATTTAACTACATGATACATTTCCTGCCATTCCTTAAGCTATTTGCAGTTACTACTGAAACTAATCGGGAAAACAGTATATCTGAAAGTAGCAATTTTTTAGTAGAAAAAACGTCGTGATACATTCAATGCATTCAACCTTTACCTAAACTTTTGCATCACTTATTTATATCAATGTTTGGTATAAAAATGTATCACACGTTTCTATCTTCGTGAAATATTATAGCATTTATTCTGTATATGTGCAGGTTTCACTTACCATGCGGTCAAGAAAGCCATTAAGCTGATTTCATTCTATCTGCCTTTAGTCCTCTAGTCCTCTTTTAGTTCTCGAGTAGGTAATTCATGTTCTGCTCGTGGATTGTTTGCTAAAATACTGCAAGTTGTGCTAAGATGTAGACAGCAATGTCCTTCACCTTCAATGATAGTTCAGGTGGTATCTCGAAGTTACGGCTTCACCTGTATTTAAAAGAGTATCACCAGTTAAACTGGCTAAATATAACCTTTCTTGTGAGGTAATGAATACTGGAGATACAGAAAATTATTCTATTTGCGATCATTAATAGAAATAATACATTTACGATTAATAATAATAACGAGTTTTCAAATGCTTGCTTGTTTGTTTGTTTCATGTGAATCAAAAAGCTACACAATGGGCTAGCTGTGATGTGCCCACCACGCATATCGAAACCCGATTTTTAGCCTTATAAGCTTTCAGACTTATCGTTCGGCCTGCCTTGGCCTGGTGGTTAGAGCGCTCGAGTCGAAATATGCGGATCTTGAGGTGGAATCCCCGTCACATCAAACATGCTCGCCCCTTCAGCCGTTTGAGCGTTATAATGCAACGATCAATCCGACTATTCGTTGGTAAAAGAGTAGCCCAAGAGTTGGCAATGGGTGGTATTGACTAGCTGCCTTCCCTCTAATCTATCACCGCTAGATTAGGGATGACTAGCGCAGATAGCCCTGGTATAGTTTTGCGCGCAATTCAAAACATACCAAAGGAAATTACCACCGAGCCAATGAGGAGTTGTTTTCAAAGGCACTTTGTTCCAAGTCTCTTAGTTTAATGGGCTTTCCTTGTTTTCATTTAAATTACATATTATTAAGCTTTCTATAGTAATTATTTCCACATTAATGACTTTTCTTTTGATAAAAACGAGCATTCCGATCGGGTCACTAACTTGTTTATGTACTCTCTTACTGATTTGAAAAACTGATGATTGTCGAATAAAGTCTGGTTATTATACAAAATTAATTAAATATGTGTAGGAGCTTAATATCTAAATTAGCAAAAATTAACTATTTTGTAATTTTGTATAAGTGGCGTTTTAGCTATATCAAAACGTTAGGGTAGGGAACACTTAGTGGAAGTTCGGCTGCTTGGAGATAAGAGCGCTGAATTTGAAAATGGCTACCGACATCAACAGTGATATTCAGAAATTAACTGGTTTGTGGAATGCACATGGTAAAAATGACCACATTAAGCCCATTGCAGATATGGATAAGCAAGAAGTGTTGAATTTACTTTGTATCATACTTGAGCTTTATGAAAGCTCTTGGAGTTGGAACGTGGAGAATAACGTTGAAAATAGAAAGCGTATTCAGAGGTACAGAACTGCATTATAGATTGAATATAACTATTATAACTTAATCAGTTAATGTTAATCATTATAACCTAAGAAAAGTATATTAAATAAGTTGTATTTCTTACTGGGTTGATTTTTAATTTTGATCTATGTAGGTAGCTTACTTTAAGTTTAAATTTTAATCAGAAGTAGATATTAATTAATTTGCTAGTGCTACTGCTAGCGTCAATACAATTTTAGTGTTAATACACTGTTAATTTTAATTTAGTTAATATTATTAGTAATAGTGAATTAATATTACTGTTATTGATAACTTAATCAAGTTAATGTGGAATACTATTGCTAACTACATAGTGTTGTACTTGTAACGAACGTTTTGTTTCTTTGAGTGGGTTGATTATCTCGTGAAAATAATGCTAAGTCCAGTCCACGTAACAATAACGTCAACAAATTAACTTATTTCTTCTCTAAACTTAAAGTTCTTTACACTTACACTGTTACAACTTACACTACAGGCTATGTTTACTTTGACGCAAGTTCGCAAACAAATTTTCCTGTTCAACATAAAAATTAAAATCTGAAACTGTTGTAGTCCTAATACACTAATAACATTTAACTTTATCAGAAATGTACTCGATTGATAAGAAACTTGACTAACTTACCAATTACTAACTACTTGATCAAAAGCTTGATCTTTCATACACTGAATACTTCTCCAAAACCTCAGTAACAATAAAATACAATACCTTATAACCTGAGTGCTTTTGAAAGGGGGACTTTCTTCTTCAGGGGCAAAGAAGAAGAAAGGTCCACCCTTCAAAAGAGCTTGGGTTATAGGGTTTTTTGTATTTTATGTATTAAATTGATTTATTGAACTTGCATGTTATCCTAACATCATGAGCCAAACTAAGACTAGTCATATTGTATTTTTTTGACAGACTCTTTATTTCTTCTCAGTACAGTTCTGCCTTCACTAATAAGAGTTGCAACACAATGGGTGAGTGTGATGTTTATTCAAACGACATAATGACTGTGTATTATGACTATAAGGACTCCCACTCTTCAATACAAGGAGGAATGCTACTGTGCTTAGAATATAAGCTAGTAGAAAGCACCAGTGGACTAGATGATGCCATAGCTATTATGTATGATGCACATGCAAGTAGTATTATACCTGTGTAACATTGTGAGATAAGCCATTGAAGGAAATACTATGTGACTAATTGATTCATCACAGAATTAACAATCTGATTTATTGAATATATTTGATATTTCTCCCCATTTTTACTTGAAATTCAAATGAGTGTTTTACATTTGTGCTCATTGTGAAAGAGAATTCATCATTTACTTTTTTTTTTCCTATATGAAATATAATATAAATCTATTTGTAAATTTTTTTATTTGAAATATATATGTAAGATGGGTTAATCTCATTGAAAGAGTACTGCCATGTTAGAGATATCAAATAAGCACCGATGAACAGGGTGAGTCTAAGCATAATAAATTTCATTTTCAGAAGAAATATTCATAAAAACATGTAAAGATTGGTTGTGTAAGGTGAAGTATACAATTTTAAAGATTTACGTTTAAAGTAAATTTTGTTTTAGTTACAATTGGCAAAAGGTTTTGCCTGTCTTTGTCTTTTTGTTTTTTTTTAGTTTTGATTATAAACTGCATTTTGGCGTAGATTATAGAATCAGTTTATTCTAAATGTTTTTGCTTATTTTATCCTTGAACTATTGCTGTTTGAATACCTGTATCTGGTATCATCATTAATTAGTAAGTGTCCTGTGGTTCACCATTATTTACAGTTGCCAACCTTCTGTAATATTGCTTGAAACCAGGTTTCGATACCCGTGGTGGGCAGAGCACAGATAGCCCTTTGTGTAGCTTTGTGCTTAATAACAAACAACCCTCTAGTGTAATAAAAATTAAATCAAGCTTAGGTATATTGAATACATTTCATTTATTTGACTAGCCAGAAGCAATACTTTGGATAAGATTTTGCACGTTTAATTCAGGTGAATTGTTTCTCAGAACCAGCTACTGTTAATCACATTTTTGTTAAAGTGTTGCTTCAGTATTTTTATGCTTCCTTACCAATACAGAAGCCAAAAAAGAATTATGATTTAAAATATTTACTTTGAAAACATATGCAAACTATTTGAAAATGTTATAACTGGTTATAAATTATATTCTCTTGCAACAAGGTATCCTATCAGAAAGATAATTTATATAACCAATGTACCATAAATAAATATGCTTCAATGTTTGAAAGTAAAATAATTTTATATCATTGGACGGATTACTTTTATACGTCATCTTGATACTCTTAACTTAAAGCATTTAAGTGATATTTCCTATGATTCTGTTTTTGTTAGGAAAAAGAAGTCCATAAAGTTTATCAAACTGAAGACAGGTTTATTTCAATGCAATATTCCGTGCATTGTGTTTAGTTAGAAATGCTCCATGAAAATAAATAAGACTTCTGGGATTTTTTTAAGGATAATACTTGTATGGATTTGGGGTACTTAGATTTCCAAAATGCTTCGGTAAAGTACCACACAGAAACCAAGCTATGAAAATCATATTGGTGTGAAATGAGGAAAGACTAGTTGTAATTGTAAAGTGGCTTAATGAAAGAAAACAGAATGGTGTTATTAATGTATTCCATTCAAATTGTTCTTTTGTTACTAATGCTGTATGGTATTTTCAGGTAAAAACAATTTCCTGACAAGTATTAGAGAGATAAACCCTCAAATAATAATAAGTGTGATCAAGAAATAAAGGGAGTATTCCGTGTTTCATAATTAATATGAATGTGTTTCTTTAAGTGTGAAATAATGAGACTAGACACATGTAAATGAATAAACTCTTTAATATGACAAACAGAAAGCACAGTACATGTACTTGTGCAAACAGAATCACAGTCAATTCTACTGGAGTGTTTTTCTAAGTAGAGACTTCCATTGAACTAAACATAATGATCTTAAAGCAACTCTTCACTCGATGATCTACTAGTAGAACATAACTCAATTCTATAATGCCAAATTTTAAATATCTGTTTCCTGTCTTACCATTACACATGGGAAAAAAAATTGTGTTAGTATTATCTATTTCTTTTATAATTGTGAACACTTCAGTCCGATTCAGTTTTCTTTCTCAAGATAAAATGATTTAAAGGATCTTAATCTATCCCCTTATGGTATTCTCAGGTTAAATTGATTTCAGCAAAGAGCATTAGGTACATATGCTTTTATAATAGAAGACCTGGAAGAATAAATCATGAAGAAATACTGAATTTAACTAAACTGAGTTTAAGCTAAGAAATAAACAAACTGGACACAATGTGTATTACAAAATGAAAGTATATTTAACAAAGACAAACATATAATGGTTGAAGACGGCTTGAATGGGTAATGAAGAAAAACTTTAACATAAATTTAACATAACAGCAAATGTACAACGTTTCGACAAGGTTTTGTCATCATCAGGTACTAGATAGATATTCTGACTCATTACTGGAAATGGACAGTCAGAAGGGGAAGGTATGTTCCTTTCATTTTAATTTGGACTTTTTATTGATTTGTTTCCTTGCTGTCTATTTTATTGAGGTAGATGAATATGACATTATCATTAATCTAAGGATTTATATTTAGTTTTCCTCTTCCTATAAAATGTTGAATCAGGTATTTTTGGTTTTTGTAATACTTTACAAAAGTATTATTTTGTACACATTTAGGTATAATGTACAGTGGTTGTTATGTGTATTTCAGATTCCAATAAATGTAATTTTGTTAACTGATTTGTTGGAAACAGTCATGCAACTCTAGGAAAATATTCATTGATTAGTGAAGATAAACAGAAGAACTTAGTTGTAAAGGATGATCTGACTTTCTTAGTGCAATCATTGATGTCACGCCTAGAATTGAAACTAGGAAATATAACTGTGTTTCCCACAACTGTTGGAGGCAGGTGAAAAGTACATTCTATTTCTAGATAATCCTTGTGTTCACCTATTGAATCTACAATCTCTTCCCTGATGCTCATCTACAGTTAGGGGGTCAATCAGCAGAGAGCTTCAGGACAATAGTCTGTGGATGATAGGTCTTACCCGTTAACACCCTAGCACTTCCAGCAGTCCAATGGTCTTTAGTTCCCTTTTTTCCTCTTATCCTGATTTGACTAATCATGTTTCATTCCAATATTTGATGGTGATGTCTTATATCACTCACCGAGGGGGTACTTGTTCTTGTTCCCTTTGTGGTAGTCAGTGGATCTCCCTTTTTGAACCCAGACACTTGACATACTTCTCCTGGTGTGTCGTGTTCCAGGTGCTATCATCCTCATTGCAGATCACCTTTCCAAGCCCAACACACTTTCTCCCAAGGATTGGCTTCTTGATCTTAAAATGTTTAATGGCTAAGTATCCTGTGGGGTACTTGTCCATGAGAAAGTTACATTTTTGTTTTTGGTCTCTGGTTCATTATCTACTTGCCCTGGCTGTCAATATGTTCAAACAAGATTAGATCGAGCTTATAACTTTAGTTTTTCTCACTCCATTAGTCTTTTTCGCAAGGCAATTTTGATCATCCATGTCACTCTGGGTGAGGTCTTTCTAATTGATCCTTCCTAGCCAGCACAGATTTGGTTTTCTTGGCTGTTTTGTCTCCAAATGTTCTTTTTGTCCTGTATTGATTTTACTAACCTACACTTAGGGTGCTCATGTGGTATATTCTTTTCATCATTTTCATTTCTTGCCATCTTCTACCTTTGTTCACGGTCAGATCTGGATGATCTTTCTTCTCCTGTACATGCTCTGAGATGCTTCAATGCTTTCAAGACTTCTTTACCACAGTTTATCCAGATCTATCAATAATTGTCTCTTTTCATCAAAAGTCCACACAGATTTATTCAATTACTTTAGAAAATAATTGACAAGACAAATTATTCTTCTCTACTTTGTTACAATACAATCTGCAATAATTTACTTAAAAAATAAAATGCCACTATACATTCTTTATGGCTAAAATTACAAACACACAGTCTAGATCTATTTGACTATATCTCTCACTAACTTTGTTTAATGTGAACTGCATTTTGGACTTGTATTTATAAATATCCCAACTGAGGTCTAGAACTTTTCACACTATGAGATATTATGATGTAATAGTACTTGGGAAAAATTTAGAAGGTTCTAGTAACATAACTCAATAATACAACAATGGCCAATTTATGACAATTGAACTATACAATGTATTATTCACACAGTTACATAAACAAACCTACGATAAATCATTGCTTTTAAAAATAACTAAATTTAACACTCACACTCTACTTAAATTAAAACAATCATGCACTCTACTTAAAATAAAACAATCATGTATATCTAATGCCTTCCTCCTGCCTCCCATCTCTATTTTCAATCAGATTTAGACAGACAATTGTGCCCTGTTCATGCCATTCGTTGCTACTTATCCTGTACCTCTCACATTTGAGACTACCATCACTTTTTTGTTTATTCTACTCATCATTGAGTGTTGATGCTTGCAGATTGTTCCACATTCTTCCTATCAGAATTGTCACCTCTTTAATTCTGTTGCCACTCATTTCCAACAACCATTAGAGGAGTTACTTCAGGTGGGCATGTGGGCTACTCTACATACCTTCATCACCCACTATTTTCACCATTTGGCTGTCTCAACTCTTGAAGATTACCAATGGTCTCCACCATTCTACAAAGTCTACCCACTGTCTCCAGCCTGGTGAGCATGTTTTTTCTTTTTTACAACATTTGCTTATAGAATCCTGCCAGGTAGCTGATATTGCCTTCCAGGGTACACTGATTTCACAAAATTTGGATTGAACCTGGATAACAGAAAGTGTCCATATCATCTGTCCTGGCTCCATATATGCCAACTGTGAGATGAGGTGTTCTGCAAGACTGCTTCAAGTATATTTATATATCTGTATACTGTTTGATCCAGACCATACCTATTCCATAGATTATCTTGGAAAAAGCCAGAACCAAGGGAGGGTCTTCTCCCTGTTTCCCTTGCTTGTACTTGCTGGCATTTAAAAATAGGGATATGTGGTCATCAATTTCACTGTCTCCAATATAAGACCTTTCTGGCTGAAGGACCAATGAGGATCAGGGACATTTCTCTGGGTCTTCCCACTGCAAACTTCTCCCCCTTTCTCTTCAAGTGGAACACTTACCACTTCCCAGCTGCTGGGGTGGAGGACCATGGTGAATTCTCACTGATTGGGTCCTAACTGCTAGGGCTAGAACAAGGGGTGCCAGTTGGTGGAAAGTGGGGCAGTGATGAAACTGTCAGTGTCGCACATATAACTGTACTTGTAACCTGCCACATGTGCCCACTTCCTACAGCCAGTTTGCTCAGTAGAGTAAAGATAAGCATGTACCATTATACCATGTCCTCCTCCTGCAGTCATGTGTGTTCAGAAGAATCGAGGTGAGCTCACTCTATACACGTGTCCTCTACATGCGGAGTTCACCTGTTCAATTGAGTTGAGGCAAGCATACACTAACAAACCCTGCCTTCCTTCTACAACTGATGTATGTTAATTTTAGTTGATGTGTGCACTCACCATAATGCTTTCTATGGCTTTACTATTGTTCTCTCCTCTCACAGTTGGTATTGGTCTAATATAATCTGATTGTAGATTTGAAGTGAGCACAAGGTATGTTCTGAACACACCCCAACCATGCTACACGTATTGCTGGCCAACCTCTTGTGTGCATATACTTGGAAGGCCATGCTTTTATTCCGTCCATTCCTGCGACACATGGTGCACGTTTGCATCTTCCTCCCTTATTCCTGGGCAAAGAATATACCCTGGAAGAGATGAAATGCAGTCTCCCAGGGGCATGCTCCTATGGAGCCACTGCCATCAGGTGTCACACACCATGTGCTTCCTTTGAGTGCTTTCTGTATAGAACTCATCTAGGTAAGTCTTTACACATTTATTACAGGTAAGGAAAAGTTAAGGTTACTATAAATAAGGGGAACATGTGTAATACAGATGGGAACTCGTTCACTAACTTGACTGAAGAAAAGGATTTTGGCACAGTGGTAGATAAGTCATCAAAGCAGTGCTCTAATGCTAAAGTAAATCCAATAGAATTATAGGATGTTTTCATAGGCATGTTGATTACAAGTAAAAATAGATAATTATCTGTTTATACAAATCACTAGATAGGCTTCAAATGGAATATTGTGTTGGTCACTTTAATTTTAAAAAGTTCAGTGAAAAGCTTCCAAGATCATTCCAGGTCCAAATGGGTTATCATAGGTGGATAGTATCAAATCTCTTGACATGTTTTTGCTATAAAAAAGGAGGGATATGGCTGGGGTTTTTTTTTTGGAATCTTTAAATTGAGATGATGTTTTTTTAAAATACTCTGCAGGCAATAAGACTAGAAGACAAAAGCTTAAAGTATGGAAAAGTCACACATGACTTCAGTTAAGGCAATTTTACTCTTCTAATTGGGTTGCTATCCTGTGGAATAGTTTTTGTCTTTGAGTGAGGTAGAAGCTGCAACACTGAAAAGTTAAAGAGCAGATTGGATGAGTATTTAAGAGATCAGGACTGAACATAAGAAAAATGGTTTCTATGAATAGTTTGGAATAAGGTGGTGGAAAATGGGACATTCTAGACAGACCAGATGGCCCCTTGTTATCCTTTCAAATTGAAGTGAATAGCACTCATGCTCAATGTTTCTGAATAAAGTAAAAGTAGATCTTATAAATTTTACAAGACAACCACTATTTAGTTAAATACAGGCAACTAATTAATGCCAAAAAATTTCAATTTATCAACACATGTATAGTTAACACAGAAAAGCAACAGTTTGATATTTTTATAAAAAAAAAACAGTAGATTCTGTAATTAATTTTATGTATTTTATCTTCATTGAGTAATCTACTAAGGTAAATTACAGTTTCTGATATGTTATTCCTATAGTATTTTTATTGTATATGTATATAAATTCTCACATGTTTCTTAAGAGCTATCAACCTTTGTTTCTTATTCAAATCACTGTTTTCAGTATCATAATTTTAAGAACAGTAATAAAGAAAATTAAGTTAATGGGAAGAAAAATTCCATTTTTGTGTGTTTTTCTTTACAGTTGTTTGCGCAGATTGAACTTGGATTATCTAATTAAGGGCTCAACAGAATTAGAGGGTTCTAACAGTAAAGTCACTCGACTGGTTGGTGCTCTCTGGGAGAAACTACAGCAAAAATATGGAAGTGGTGGTCTGAAACAGCGTTGTTTACAGGTAAAATGATAAGTTTTATAGATGAAGCTAAGAAAGTTCCTCTGGAAATTTAATGTTTAGTTAAGTTAAGAAAAAAAAGATTAAAAAGAAATAATGACAAGTAAAGCTTTTTGAAGACAAATGTATCCATGTTGGTGCATTCATCCTCCTCGGCCTTTTCTCTCCAAACATGGCTTCTTTATTGTTGGAATCTCCTTGGTAGGGACACTCTGTTAACCAATGTATGTCTATCTACAAGATCTTCGGATGGCTTCTTTTTTTACATAGGTTTACTATAGAAGATCTACCTGAGTCTTTGGAGTCATGGGTAGTGGCTGCTTGACAACACTCCTTCATTTTTTCCTTGGACTTTTGACTACTGCAGCCTTCACCTGCTCCTTCTATTCCTGTTTCCCATTCTTCTCCTTTGGCTCCTTTATCCATTCCTCCTTCCTGTGTTTCAGCAACGAGTCATTGGATTATTCACTTCTGAAACACACACTGCCAACAGTACCCATGGATTCTGGAAAGGTAGGAGAATGCTTGACCAGATTTTTGCACGTATGGCATATTTTCATATTGGATCTATGGGTGATTTTGGTGCTGTTCATTGACCTTTCCATTTCACCATGGAATTATTCATCACACTGCAGTGGCCATTTACTCCAGGTCTGTGGATGATGAAGGTATACGCCTCAGATGCTTACCTACACATCCCTATTGCCCCATCATCCAGACGGTACCTTTGTCATGTATACAGGGGTCGTATTTATCAGTTCTGTACACTACCATTTGGTCTATCAGGTGGTCAGAACCTTTGCTCAAATACTTTATGTACAAGGTTTGCTTTTTCATCATTACATGGATGATTGGCTGTTATTAGCTCCATCCCAACAAGCCACTCACCAATTGCTTCTTCGAGAAGCAACTCGTTCTTTTTTTCCCCAACACAATACTTTCTCCATGTAGGAATGTTTTTCAATTCAGCTGGGCCCAGTCTTCTCTTCATCTGCAGTCGATGGAGCCCATGGTACTCAAAGCCCAATCCTCTCATACATTGTTTGCACATGAGGTTCTTTTTTCTTTTGGGGACGTGGGCCTCCATGGAAGCCCTTATACCCTTGGGTTGCACTCATATGTGCACTTTGCTTGGGATTTCCTGGTGTTCCACTTCCATCTCCATGACCCGAGCTGCATCTGTTTACAAATATTTTCTTATGCATTGGGGAGCGAGTGTGGATTCTCAGGAAGTCTTAGGTTGCTGGTCTTGAGCTGAGAAGGCAATGCACATCAATTCCCAAGTTTTCCAGTAGTTATGAGATTTGTAAGATACTACACATCTGGATGCATTTGCCACCTATCTCAATACCAATTTACCCCTATTTTGATCTCCAGTACCTCATCCTTTGTCTTTACTTGTATGCCTACCCTCCTATCCATATCCTTCCCAGGGTTTTATCTATCATCCAGTCCACCTGATGTAGTGTCCTTCTGATAGCACCTTACTGAGTAGCACAAACTTGGTTACCAATCCTGACCCCAAGTCAGACAGCACCTCTGTTACTGCTTCCTTTTTACCAATCTCTTCTCTGTCAACCTGCCGCTGGTGTTTCATACCACAATCTGTACACTTCGGTTTCACACATGGTTTTTGTCTGGTCTTTTGCAAGGCAGTCTGGATTATCTGTACATGTAAATTCCATTTATTCCCGTTCTATACATCCTTCTTCTCTCATGGTCTTTCAGTGAAAATGGCATATTTTTCAGCATTGGTCTCTGCATCATGATTACCTTTTTTACCATCCAAATATTCCTCATGTTTTTAAGTTTTTACGTGGGTGTTTGTTAATGGTTCTTCTAAATTTACCATTGCTGGGTATTGAACAGCCTTGTTCACCACCTTCAATTTTTCCCGTTACCACAGGGTGTTCTCCTATCCTACCATTTCCATTTTGTTGCTTTCTTTGTGAGTTATTCAACTTCCATGTCCTAAGCTCCTCCCAGGTTGGAACCTTAATGTCCTTACCCAAACCACCATTCAAACCCTTGGCTACCTGTTCCCTATACCAATTATCCCTCAAAACCTAGTTCCTGCTTCTTTGTGCCTGTGGTCATTGGAAATCAGATTTTTTTGCCATTGATGTATCATGTATTCTTTATCACTGTACCTATGTTCTCTTCTAGCTGGATTGAAGTTTTCTACCCCAGACATCAGGGGCTCGTGAAGGCAAAGCCCCTTTTACACTGAGTTCTCTATCTTCCATTTCCATTTGGATCCAGATAGATGGATCTTGTGCATGCTCTCAAATGTTATATTGCCTGCATAGCTTCCTTCTGCGGTTCCTATTCCCATTTATTTATCAAATGGAACCCTTCCTCTCAAAAGGAATATTTCACCCACCATCCTCACAGGTTGGATTTGCCAACTTATCAGGCTGGGTGTCATCTCATCAGATTTGACATCTTACCTCTTCCCTTAGAATACATCATCCAGGCTGGCATGTGGACCACACCTAACACCTTCATATCCCATTACCTCCATCATGTGGCTGTTTCTTCCATTTCTTTTCCATTGCAGGGTCTCACATATCTCTTCTATATTGGATCCCAGTAAGTGGCAAATGGTGCCTGTCTAGGTATACTTATCGGCTGGGGAACCCTCATCCTGCAGGATTAGTTCCTAGGAGAGCTGTTTTTGGAAAGGAACTGAACTTACCAACAAATCGACACTGTACAGCCATTCACAAAATACTAACCAACTGGAGAACTTTGTCGTACTATCTCCTTTGGGAGATTTGGTTGGAAAGGAGCTGGACCAGTTGAGATATATTTGTTGGTTGGGTACCCCCATTCTACCAAAAGAAAGGAGCTGGACCAGCCAACAAAACCATAACAACAAGACTTATAATACCCATTCTTGAGATGGGGTGTTCCACAAGAATTCTAGTAGGTTCACCTTGCACTATATTACATCATAAGTATGCTCGTCCCAGGCCATATTGACTCATGGACTTCCATGAGTAAAGCAGAAGGAGATTGCTGTCCATCCTTCTGTGCCTTAGGTTTAATAAACCAGGAGCAGTATGCCTTTCAAAATAGTGTTTTATGGTCATGCATTGCACATTGTTTAGTGTAGCATTCCTCTAGAGTCTCTGCTATGCTTCCTCCTATCTATAGGTGGTGTATGGGAGTCCTTACCATTTCTTAGCTGCTGGGGTGGTGGACCATGGAGGTTTCCTCCTGAATGTGCTCAATTCCATTCAGTTGAGAGTAGGGCAGAGGTGTTCTGTCAATGTAGATGGTGTAGAACCCTCCTCCAACTGTGGACTGGAAGAAAAATATCTGAACCTGCCTGGTCATGGACTTGAGATAATCCACCAAAATGGACTTCATCCCACCATCTCATGGAAGTTGGTTCCCATGAAGTATGGTGTTGGAAAGAAGCTGAACTAGCCATTGGATATACTCATCGGCTGGGGAACCCCCATTATACCTTCTCCTACAGGTCAGTTCCCAGTAGATCTGGTTTTGGAAAGGAGCTGGATCAGCCACCATCTGGTTTTGGATTTGAGTGAACCACTGCATTGCACTTCTCTTCCTACTGTTGCTCTGATTTCAGGTTTCCATGTGACTGGCTCTGCACACCTGTTCCCTGACTAAGAAGACTGAATGGAACATTTCTCTCTTCTTTTTCCTCATCTTAAGATGAAGATGGTAGGGACCTCCTACTGCAGACTGAATGATAAATGGAGTTGACCCAATGAGTACAAACTAATTGACTGGAGAACATTCATCCTATCAGCTCCTGCAGGTTGGTTCCCAGGAGATCTTGTTTTAGAAAGTAGCTTGACCAACCGACATATCTACAAGCAAGGATATGCTCCTCTTTTCCACCCAATTTAGCACTGAACAAGAAATGCTATTATGTGAGCAGAGGTATCTATCAGAAAATATTAAATTTTTATTTTTACTAATTCACTTGTGTTTGCTTGTTTTTCTTTGCTTTCCATGTTCATTCTATTCCCTGGTTAACATTTTTTGAATCTACTGTGTATTGTGAATGTGTTACTTTTCTGCTGGTAATTGATGCACTGGAATACCACATGTACATAGGAAGCAAATTAATGTTTGTTTATTTACTAGCTTGAATTGTTGTGAAATCTTTGATATTTATAATACATTCTATAAAAAGCTAAGCCTTTAAGTGATAACTTGTTTAAAAAAGTAATTTAAGCTTTATATTTGCATGTTTGTGTTCAAGAGTTTAAATTTGTTTCATGACTAAGCATTAGATTTAATGATATGAAACCTCTGCTTCTTGTAGGTTCAGATGAAGAGACAAAAACAATATCAACAAAAGCAAGAGAAGTCTGTTGTGAGTTACAGATTTATTTTATTTAGTAAATTTATGTTAAATAGTTCTGAATTACTTGGTTTAGAAGCACAAATATGCAGCAAATGTTAAAACTGTATCAGTGTCTGGCTTTAAAGAAATTTGCAAATGTGAAACAGTACCATCATTATTGGGCTTGAAAATAGAGCTTCTGTGATATGAACTGCATAATTAACTGGCTTAAAAAATTCAAATATAAACACTGCATGTATAAAAACAGAACCTTTATATGTCTGAAAAGTACAGATAATCATTACATATGTAGCTGTCTATGATATATAAGCAACAGCAAGATCATTTATTCAATCATCGTGGGAAATAGAGGTTAAAGATACTCAGTTTATTGAATATCAAAACTTCATTTTTGTAATTGTCAAACTTACAGTTTACAGCCAGTACAGTGTGCCACGACTTGTAAATTGAGACTATTTTTTTATAGATTTAATCAACTTTAATCATCTTACTTGTTCATACTTTGTAGACAAAATATCACATTAGAGGTAAGTTTTAGTACTGGGCTAACAGTAAAATAGTGAGAAGTTTTTAGTTTGTATTTAAATATTAAACATTTTCAAATACAAATCTTGATGAAAAAGTAGATAGTTTTGTAGCGCTAACATACTGTACTATGTATAAAATATGCGTGAGTATTTGTTTTTTTCTGAATCAGAATATATATTTTTTATTTTAATATAACCTTTTTTTGTTGTTTTTTCAAGCTGCAAACAACTTATTTGTTAAGTTACTGGATCATACTATTTCTTAAATTATTTTTTTCTTAATATTTGTGCTGTAAAAATTTATCCTCTTGCATTGATATTTCAGAAATATTGCAATAGACAACATAACAGTATTTTAATATGAATTAATTGTTTCATTAATTATGAACTAAGTTAATTTTGCCAAGAAAATAAACAATCTTTTAATCAGTTTAATTGATACAATCACTGAGTATAATGAATAGACATAATGGTGATAAATGTGTAGTATATGTTAACTTAATTGGTGTAATACTCAACTTTAAGTCTCTAGGTATGGGTGAGAGAGTTCTATATTGGGTATAGAAATATGTATTTTCAGGTTTTTTCAGAACAAAAAAGGAAATTTGGACTTTGTTTTTGTATCACTTTTCCATTTCATACTCAAATCATCTTTCTTGTACACTTGTATGTTTGTGCAGTAAATTATTACACAAGCCTATAGTACTATCAGTGATGATTACAAGTGTGTCGGCAAAGTCGACTGACAAAAGTTTCTGTTATCACCCATGTATATGTGATTTTTATTATCAGATTTTACTTTTACTTTTGAAAAGTTCACTCAATGTATTTTAAAAATGAAATTAAACAGTATTTGCAGATACAAAACCCTTTGAAGTGAGTTTCTTATTAGTAAAAATATTTCAGTCTTCTGTTTTATTAATTTTAGAATTTTCATTGAAACTTAAAACCTCACTGCTTATAATGCAAATTATATTTGGTAGATAATCTGATATGTTATGAAGATACTGAAAACATGTACTTAATCAACTATTGTTAACAAGAGAATACATAATCTTGATGGAAGGGTCACTGTAGGGCTTAGCATTTTGGTTTATAAGAGTTTTTTGTACAATTCTGCAGTAATAGCTTAAGACTATGTGTTGATTGTTAATTTTATTAACAGGCAAAAAGAAATGAAGAACAAGTATGTGAAACCTATGTGGTGTTTTCAAAGCAATCTCTTGAGAAAAGTAGTCTCTTGGAACTTCAAAAAGAAGAGCAGTTTTCTTCTGCCGATTCACAAGACCTGTTTATTGACAGAAAAATCCCATCTGGAAAGGAGCTCCCTAGGACACCTGTCCTCCCACTTTCCATAGAAGATAGCTCAGAAAATTTGGCTAAAATAAAGAAAGCTGATGAAGAACCTCAAGATAATGTTCTAGAAGTTCTTTCAACCCCTGTTGCTGTGGGTCAGATTCTGCTATCAGGAAAACAAGATCAGGTTACTTTGGAAGGAAGTTTTGTTCTAACTGCAGAAAGCCAGAGAGTTGATGCTGAAATAAGAACACACAAAGTAGAACACACAAAAAACAGTGTAAACAAGATATCTCCTAATGAAACACAAATTGATACACCCATACATTTTGATAAATCAGATCTAACAAGACTTAATCAAAAAGACTTGATGATAGGCTCTTCAACAGTTTACACCAAAGACAGAAAAATTCCTAAAGGAAAAGAAATCCCTAGAACTCCTATTAAAGGTGTTTCAGTTCAGACAATATCAGAAAAAAAGTTGTATAATAGTCTTGTGGTAGAACCACAGAGCACACCTAAATCTAGACATGAATTAAAAACATATACACATGTATCTCAAGAAATTCATCAGCTTTCACAGCAAGATTTAAGATTACAAAGTCTTCAGCTTCTCTGTCAAAATAATGAAGATTTTTCCTCTCAGATATCAGAGTGTGACAGTACTGAGACTAAACAGTTACAGCCAAATGACAGAGCAGGTGAACAAACTTTCAGATGTCAGTCAAAATCACCAGTTTTAAAATCTTTTTTAAGAAAAAGCAATGTTTCTTGTATTAATGGGGAGATTTCTCACACAGGAAATATAAAGGTAGTTGAAGAACCATCTGTAGAAAGCTGTAGGCTCCCTAGCAGAGTTAATCAGCTAAAAAGACGGGAAAATAATTCCATATATGCTTCAGAAAATACAGAAATTCAAAACCAATTACCAAAGATCAAAGAGGAGTCTGGATCAAGATCAAAATTGATTCCTAGTACCAAACAACAAGAACAACTGGAGGCAAGAAAGAAGGAAAGTGTAGAACCTGATGATTCATCAGTTCAGAAGACACTTGTTGAAGAAGATAAAACATCAACTGTTAAAAGTAAAGCTCATCATGACAATTTTGTTGATCAACATTCCAATTCAATTGTGGATTTTGAAGCATACAACTCAAGTGATGCAGAGGAGGATTCTCAGCTGTCTACATGTCCTTCTAATACTGTCAATTTGAACCAAACATTCACAATAGAAGATGACACTAGCTTTCTAAAAAATAAAAATATCAGAAGAATATCTGAAGATGTGCCAACATCTACCATTTCAAGCGGTATTGGGGAAAACAACATTAGAAAAATAGAAACAGATGACAGTGAAAAGTTTGGATTAACAAATGGCTGTCACTCAAAGAAACACAAGGTTGTTAGTACATTTTCTCTAAAGGGACAAAATCTTGGTAAAGAAACTGAGAATAAGAGCTATGTTTCTGACAGAAAACAAATCCAGTGTGAATCACCAACTGGTTCTAATCTTGGTGTCATGTACAAAGAAAGTTCTGTTGATGTAAATTGCATGGGAAGGAAGGATAAAACCAAAGAGGAACTGGAGACTTTCAGCCTTCTTAAAGAAAGCACTAGACACATTTCTTCTCTTGTTGGTAAACCAAACAACAGGGGAAAGAAAAAATATGAGCCTTCTTTTGTGAACCAGTCTCTACTACAAACTGCTGATATCTCAGAAAAATCAAAATCTGAACAAAAACAAGTAACAATGTCTCAAGGAAATAATGTCAACACCATCAAAGAAGGAAAACTTAGCAAGCCAAAGTTTAATATTATACCTGAACATGAGAAAACAAATGAATTAAATATTATCAAGAAAATAGAAAGCTCTGAAGTTGGTCTTTCAAGAAATGAAAGTGAGCTCGCATCAAAAAAGACTTGTGTTAAAAAAACAAAAAATATTTGTACACAACTCAGTACACCTGAACAAGGTATGAAAATGATAGCAACAAGGTCAAAAACTGCTTCAAGGATAATAAAAAATACTTGTTCAAAAGTAGTAATTTCACCTGACCATGACAAAACACAAACGCTTAAAAGAACACAACAAAATACTGACTCTAAACTGGATGTTGAGTATGACCAAGAAAAGTTAGAAACTACTGAGAAAAAACAAAGTACTAATGAAGAACTATTCAATGCAAATAACAAGAACAAGGTCAAACAAGAACGAAAAAGTAGAAAAACCAAACAAAACGCAGCATTGGAATTGAACATTTTAAAAGAAGAGAAAAGCATAGAACAAAGAATTGGAAATAAAGAAATTATTGGTACACTTCAAGATACTAGCAACAAAGTTGATTTTGTAAATAACCAGGAGAAAGCAGCTAATGGAAATCAAATGCTTGTGGAAAGTGTTAGAAAAACAACCCAAAACAGCAAGGTAGAATTGACAAGTACAAACCCAAAGGAAACATCAGAAATATCTATTAAAAACGCAACAAGATATTAAACCTGAATTGGATATTAAGGATGACCACAAAAAACTGTCAGTTGGTAAAAGAACAAGAACTGCTAGAAGAACACATGTAATGAATGTAACAGAACTAGATAGTACAAAAGACCAGAAGAGATTAACCTTCACAAAGAAAACAGGAAGAGTCAATAAAGCACTAGAAAACAGAGAAGTCAACCTAGATATTACACATAAACAGGAGAATTTAACTCAACATATAGAGCTGAACACTACAGATGTACTTCATACAACTGGAGAATTAGACAATTTGAATAACAGGAATAACTTAAACCAGGAAAATAAAGTAGGATCTTTAAACAAAATACAAATTAGTGTTCTAAAAGCTGGCAACACAGCTGGTAAGGAGAATATGGCTCAAAGAAGAAGAGGGAGGAGTTCTAAAACTAAAGATAATGAAAATCCTAAATCTGACGTAAAACTTGTTCCATCAAAAGATGCCAAATTTTTTGAAAGGAATGAGGAACAACCTTTGTTGAAGATGAACCAACTTTCTCAGGTAAGTTTGAGCTCACTCATCTTTCTCTTTTCATGCAATTTTTCTCTAAACTGAACTTATACACAATTTTGCTTGTATATCTTTTGATGACTTTCCCAAACGAAACCACCACATGAGAAAATTAGTAATATGGAGCTTTTAAAGTTAATTTTTCTTTGTTTGTGCAGTTGTTTAAATGTAAATTAACTGATGTTGGATATTGTGTAAGAGTCCATTTTAGAGACAAATGGATAGGACTTAGCCATAGCTGAGATTCGCAACATTTTTATTTAGGAGGATTTGTAGGGTGAGGCAAAGCAAAGGATGTTAAAAATAATTACGGAAACATTTTAACAAGTAAAACTTTTTACTACCTGCAAGTATGTTACTTATTGGTACTTCAACCATAAAACATTGTTTCATAACTAGGTTATGACTGAAAATTTGAAAGTGAAAATGTGTTGTTTTTAAAATGGTACTTTAACCATAAAACAATTACATTACTGGATAGTATTGAACATTTGAAATAGAAAATGTTTTGTATTTTAGACGACACTTCAACAATAAAACATATTTATGCTTGATAACTTGATACTGAGTCAAAATTTGCAATGGAAAATACGTAGTTTTAAAACTGTATTTCAACATAAAATATTTGTTTCATAATTAGGTACTGTTTGAAAATTTTAAATTGGAAGAGTTCTATGGCAGTGAGACAAAAATACGACGTATCCAATTTGAAAACAATCTGATGTTTTATACAGCACATTAAGTTATTCATTCATTGTCTGCTTTAGTTAATTTCAAAAATTCCTACAAATGTACCATAACTCTTTTAGAAATACTGATGTTACGTAAAGCAGATGAGTTGGCTGCAAAATGATGTATTTACACTGATTCAGTTTTATTATAGAAACCTTATTGAATGAGTTTGTATCTGTGTATTGTACATAATGATTACTTTATAACTATTTGTTCTTACAGACAAAGTTAGCAGACCTGGCGGAGTCTTTGGACAAACTTTCAACTTCAGGCAACACAGAAGCAGATGATCTAGTGAAGGAATTTAATGAACTGCAGGTAAGTAGAAAGAAACCTTACTTATACTTGTGACACTCTTGTTCTGTAGTTAATGTAAAACTTAAAAGAAAGAAATTAGATAATAAAGTGTTATACAACCAAGTCTCATGGGAAGATCTTAGTCAAAAAATTTACTTTTCCCACTTAATTTATAGAATGCTATTTTAAATAAAAGTCATTACCAATTCAAAAATAATTAGGATATTTTTTATTAATTTGTAGAATTTTCACTATGTCTATAGAGTTAACTACATATATGAACTATTTTTTGTTTTATAAAAAATCTCAAAATAAATTGGTTTCTTGTTAAAAGCCATCATCTGTAAGTAATTACAGTGGTCCCCCTCCCCTACGACACCCCTCGCCGACGACTTCCCCGCAGTTACGACTTTTTCCCGATGCACCATCAGTGTTTGCATGGTAATGTCCCACTAATGAACGACATATGACTGATATCGGTGCTAACGGTTTCTCAGTTACGACTTTCTGTGCGAGTCATGACCTCTTTAATCAATGGAGACTTTAAATTAAGAAATCAATAAATATATTTCCTGTTTTGTTGTCCATACATTTCATTTTATACTTTCAGTACATATACTAACAACAATATTAGGTTATACCTTTGTTGCTAAGCAACATGACACAAAAGCCATTGTTGGAAAGTATTGTTACCAAAACGCACTGGTTTTTCTACACATTAGCAGTTGTTAATATAACTGATTTTTACCAATAATTATTCTATGAATACACCATGAACTCATTTCATGAATGTTCTTAATTTTGATTGGCTCACAAAGGAATTTACCGACATTTGACTGCCTCGAATACACATTTCTACCTCTTTGTTTGTCAAGTTTGATTTCGCAAAATTTATTTATTTCAGTTATCTATAAAATGTACTATGGGGTGGGGGTAGTAGTACTCGCCCCGTCAGTTTTGACGGGCTATATGCTAGTGCTATACAATCCTTGTGATATTCAGCAAAATGCCTGGCAAATG